AGCCAATCAGAACCCGTGCGGCCCAGGTAGAAGCTGAACAGCGCCAGTAATACTAGGACGCGGTTGACAGACGGCCCGGATAACCAATGAGCTTATTGTGTACCTAATGTTTGATCCCCCTAATTTCTTTCAATAAACGAACTAATACTTCAGTGGCCTTTTCCTCGCGTCTCGATTACTTGGGATATTGCGTACAAGTGTCAGTGTGATCCAGTGCCAAAGTGACATATATATATATATATATATATATAACACTGGCTTGTGGACAAGCATGTTGCCAACGCCAAAACAATATAAACAATAACTATATCGCGGGTGGGTGCGTTTGAGATACCGGGTATAGGGGAAGAGACTTAACTGTTACAATGGAAGATTACGAATAAATCTAATGACAGTTTTTTGTGCCTTTCACCGTACACATTTTGAAATATTTTCGTGTTGTTTGTTGTTTTTTACGAGGAATGGGATTTCGACAGGCAGACCGTACAGCATACGTGCCACTGACTTCTAGTCTGGGCAATATCTCTCAGCGTCTCTAACCAACAACAATCCTCATCCCTTGGATCCTAACCTAGAAGGTGGGCTGCACCAACCGAGGCCCTATCATCGTCTGACCACCGCGGCGCTTCTCCCAGCCTTACCCGGCACGTGCAAAGAGAGCACGACGGAGTAGTCAATGGGCAGGTATACTCAAAACGTTACCAAGTCATCGGAGGCGGTGTATGGTGATTACTTCTGTTAGAGAACAACTAATCCACACCAAACACACAACGGCGGTACCCTTCATTGCTCACCCGATATTCGCACCAGACAAGAGTAATGATTTGAAAACATCGACGGTCAAATACAGAAAGTCGATTAGCATCCTCTGCTCGGAGAGACCAGGCCTTGCAACCGTAAAGCAGAANAGCGCCCAAGGTACTTAAGGCACTCAACTACTTCTAGCCGATCACCACAGAGGGTGAGTACAGACACAGGCTCCTGTCAGTCTTGAACAGGCACTTTGCACTTTGATGGCGCAAAGCACATAACATACCTGGATACCTCTATCGTCCAGTGGTTCGAAGCATCTAGGACTACCTGTGTGTTGTCACCCAGCAAGGCCATGTCATCAGCATATTCTAAATCAAGAACTCTGTTCCCTGGAAGGAGTTCAACCCCACCGTTTGCTAGACCGGACAAAGCGTTCTGCAGAACATCCTCTATGACAAATCTGAAAAGAAATAGGGATATCGGACCGCCTTGTCGAATTCCACTGGAGACTGTGAAGGGTGGTGGAAGTTGGCTATAGGCCCTAATCCGACTTGAGGTATGACGATACAACTCTTTGAGGATCCACAAATACTTCTCAGGTACTCCATTCCGCTACAAAAAGCTCCATAAGGTGGTC